AGAGAGAGAGAGAGAGAGAGAGAGAGAGAGAACGAGAGAGATTGATCAGTAATATGATATTAACATACATGTACTAGGAAAATAAAATTAGACAGTAAAAAAACATAGCCCATAGTTCTGAAATCATGATATCCTGCGGCTTGCCGAAGGAATAGATTCTAGTCAAAGGATGATAGCTCGCTATTAAACTTTATAGCTGCTAGCCCGGGTATTAATTTCTAAGTGCTGGTTTCCTGGGGTGGTTTTAAAGTTGAACGTCTGCCTTATTAAAATAATAGTCTTCGTTTTAAAAAGTAGGTGCGGTTAGCTTTAATGTTGAGCCAGAGAGCTTACAGTACAACTACTAACTGCTGTCGTGTCTCGGTTTGAACCAAACCCTTTCCTGAAACAGTAGTCTGTTGAATTTTAAACACTGGTGAAATTACTTTTAACCTTTTGAGAACGTGCATTCAGGTTTTTTGTTAAAGCTTGAATACTCGCAGTTATTTTTTTGTATTGTTTTTTTATGCTTAAAGAAAAGCATAACTGAACTTTTTAATTCAAGTAGATTTTTCAGTTATCCATTCTGTATCCGAAACATGAATGTAAAAATATGCTCACAATGAAATATGCAAATTTAAGTTTGTGATTTGTGTATGATGGTTGAAATGACTGCTTTTGTTCTGTTGCTGTTCGTAAATATTAAATATAAAATAATATTATGTCCGTTGCGTCCCTGAAAATTACGTTCTTATACTCTCTGAGTCTCTGATAGTCTATAGTCATAAAGAGTTAAAGTTGAGCGAAGCCTTTCCAAAGAGTCTATCCCTCTCTTACTCCATTCTTTAGGTTAATCTCCATGGCGTACGGAATGATCGGCTTCATGCAGGCGGCTGCTGGCTTCTTCATCTACCTGGTGGTGATGGGAGAGAACGGGTTCTTCCCCCACCACTTGCTCAACCTCCGGCTCCGCTGGGAGGCCAGGGCGATCAACGATCTAGAGGACTCTTACGGGCAGGAGTGGGTACGTCGAACACGGAGAGAGGAGTGGGGGGTGGGGGGCAGAAGGTGGGAGAGAGAGAGAGAG